CTATACAAAGAAAAGAAAGAATTCAGCACCAAGTATCAAGGTATTTATGTGTGTCTGTGTTTTAATATTATTGTGTGCTGTAAGTTCTGAAAATCAAAACTTTAATATAAATACATGTTATTCACTGAGTACATTGTAAATAGAAAGATTTAACTGATGTAGATAATTCTGTTACAATGTTGTAATTTACAGAGAGATCTCCCTGACTGAGGAAATCAACACTGTTATAAAACATCAGGATAAAGAAATAGATGTCTGCTGTCAATAATGTATAGAATAGTGTACCAGAAATATGTCACCGTGTCTGGTGTTAGGGATTGTCGTCACATTTCACGTGTTACATCAGACCGGGTCTGGATCAGTGATGATAAAGGCAATCTTATACTGACAAACACTAAAGGAGAAGAACTAGATTGTGTGACAGATTTAGGTAGTGATTATGGAGGACACACTGTGGATTCTAATGGTGATTTAATTTATATAGACAGTCGTTATAACATCAATAAACTGTCTACAGAGAACAAAGTAAAGACTACGATAATAAAGTACAACACGTCACCATGGAGACTACGGTGTGTCTACAGCTCCCCCTCCACTGGACACCTGCTGGTCGGGATGTATAATACTGATACAGGGACAAAGACAGGCAAGGTAGTGAGGTATAACTCCACAGGAGAAAACATCCAGACCATACAGCACAACAACAACACAGGTCAGGTACTGTATAGAAAACCTTACTACATCACAGAGAACCGCAATGGAGATGTTATTGTGTCTGACTATCTCCGTCTTGCTGTAGTGGTGACAGATCGTGACGGTAATTACCGGTTCTCCTACACAGGTCCTCCATCAGGATCACTACTATATCCACGTGGAATCTGTACTGACGCGCTGTCACACATCCTGCTGTGTGATGATTACACCCTGTCAGTACAGATGTTAGATAGTGAGGGTCACTATCTGACAGAGATAAACACACGACAACACGGGATAGACACACCATACGGCCTGAGTTATGATGAGGACACACACCTACTGTGGGTAGGGGATTACAGACACAACACAGTCAACCTATACAGAGTGGTAGATACAGACTCTCTGACTGGTAAGTAACATTGTAGTTTGTTTTATTGTATTGTATAATTATAATAACAATACTAAATAACTACATTATAATAGAGAGATCATTTAAGATTAACTTTACATGAATGTATTCAAGTGTTTATTTACAAATGTAATAGAAATGATTGCTCATTGTGTAAACAACAAATATAAGCTGTTAAAGATGAAGTTTTTGACTACAAATATGATAAATAAATTAAAAAGAAATAATAGATTTACATCCAGTCTGTAATTAATTGTAAGATGCTGTGTGTAACTCTTCAATCACTGATTCATACATGTATATACTGAATCTTATGTCAAACTTTTTTGTAATTTTTTATCAGAACCATCTTTATATGGTATATTCATACGTCTATATATTTGTTTGACAGATAGGTTTTGAATTATAGATATACATACCATATACTGTCATTTTAAAATCAACTTTTGAAATTTTGTGCTGTTTTGTTCTGATAAATACATTTGGTGTAGTTTTGAGAGATAGCGATGAAATTTTTTAAAAAAATTTTTTGTCCTATATAATGTATTCAAATAATGCTACAATTAGAAGAGATGACAATTTGTAATGTTGACAGTTAATTTTGTTGACATTAACACAGCTCTGTGTATATATATGTGTATTTCTGTAGCAGGTGTTCAGTAAATTACACTGTGTATACATTTTGTGTATTTCTTAGCAGTAAATCTACACTGTGTAGTATATTTTGTGTATTTCTGTACAGGTGTTCAGTAAATCTACACTGTGTACTGGGGTACATTTTGTGTATTTGTGTGCAGGTGTTCAGTAAATCTACACTGTTTGGGGTACATTGACATTAACACAGCTCTGACAGTATTTTTTGAGGTGTTATATCTAACACTGGGGTGACATTGACATTAACACAGCTCTGTCTAGGAATGTTGTGTATTTCTGTAGCAGGTGTTCAGTAATACACTGTGTACACATTGACATTAACACAGCTCTGTCTAGGAATGTTGTGTATTTCTGTAGCAGGTGTTCATTAAATCTACACTGTGTACTGGGTTGACATTTTTTGTATGAGAAAGTTCTAGATGTCTCATGAAATATGGAGATCCGAAATAACCAACATTATTCAAGCTTCAAGTCCATACTGATGCTTAAGATTCATTTCATTTTAATGAACAAAAAAAAATTATTTCTTAGACACTATAGAATAAGTATGAATGCAACTGCATTGAATCATTTTAGTAACTTGCTAATGAAAGGGAGACAATTCAATTTTGTACTTGAAGGTAAAGAAAAAAAATTAAGTTACCTCCCTTTTCATTTTAAAAGTTTTAAAACGATTCCTGTTAAAAAACAACTTAGCTTCCTGCTTTGTTTCAAAAAAGTTGATTCCTGAAACTCAAAATATAATTTCATTATTACTGCCTGTATCAAGTGTAAGTACAAGATATGGTAAGGGAGGAAATACTTGTATATTTATCATTAGATTTATTCTGTCAATTTGTAACCCTATGTATCCCAACCACATGAATTTAAGAGATTGGAAGCCCTTAGATGATAATGCACTGAAAATGTTTCATTTGTACACTGTTACAAGCATTGGAGGTCACTGACAGAAATATGTAGGGTTGATTTCTGTGGTTTACACAGTCACTGAACTAAGTGTTGATGCTTAGAGAAGGTGGGGGGGAGTAATATATGGCTGTACTATTTCAAGTTATGTCAGGATTTTCTCATTATTGCGAACTCATCTGACCTATTTCAATTTATAAGAAAATTTTTGGATTGTTTTCATTTATAATTTACATCCAATCACATATATATGTTTGTATTCAGTGAATTTTCAGTGGAGTTAAGCCTTAGGAAGGCATATTATAACTCTAAACAAAGGTCATGTGAGTATAACTAAGGTTATCAGTACTTAACAAAAGACATTTTGATGCAAATTGTGTTGATTATGAAGGTTTTATGGAAACAAACAATTTAACATTGATTGGTCAACTTTGTCATAATTTTAAATGTCATCATATGATTTGAGGTGATTTGAGACACAAGGTACATTATGCTGTCAAGTTAAAGAACTTCATCTTGTAGTCATAAAATTATACATATTTTGAAGTAGAAATAATTTTGGAGGATGCATTTATCATTGATAGCAGTCATCAATGATCTTTAATCCATTATGATATTTTTATATTGTTATAATGTTGATTATATTGGAAACAAGAAATCCCATACATAATCATTTGAGAGCATAAATCAACAATGTTTTATCAGAACAAAATTATCTCCCTTAGTATTCATTGGCATAATGAAAATCACAAATGGTTTTTCTAATGAATGTATAAATATCAAGATTTGATTCTAAAATTTTTTGGACTCAAAACATTTTAACTACTCCAATATCATAAATATTTGATATAGGAGTACCAAAAATGACATTGTTTTGTGAAGATTAATCAGGATTTTTTAAAAGTATTTACAATATATATAAGACTTCTTTTTTTTTTTATCTTCAACAGGAGTCCCTCTGGAGAAGATCAAATGTAGAAAACATCCCAGAATTCCCCTGGACCAGTTCTGTACCCCGTGTGGTGTTCCCTTGTGTGTGGAGTGTACCAGCTCTGAGGATCACAGCAGACATGACCTTAGAAAGATAAAGACATTGTTTGACAGAATTCACAGGATAAAGGGTAATAGTTTAATTAATTTCAAACATTTTATGTATGTAGTAAATGGAATATATTTTGAATATTTGATCCAATTCTGCTTCAATTATCAATAAATTATTTATAACAATGGCCTTTATTTACCCAATCCAAACACACAAGAGATAATCTGTATGAAGTTTGTATCTGAAGGAATTTTTGTACATAGGGTTAACTGCATTATGTGGGTGTCCATGACAAACATACATGCCCTTTCAGTAACATTTGAATCAATGTAAGGAGAACTGTTATTGATATAATGCTGATTTAAATTTATGGGAAAATTACTCCATTCTGTGTAACAATTTTAATTGCCGGTGATATTAATACATTCAATGTTTTTTCCGAGCTTTTTTTTTATATATTATGTATATATTTCTTTACTTTGTAGATGGAGATACACTATTGATGTGCCTTCTTATTTCCAATTCCTACAAAATAAACATGAAAGAAGGAAACTGGATGACTAAATATAATGCTGTTGCCAACATTTTTCATTCCAAGGAAGTCACAAAGCCATTTGCCCCTACAGATTTAGAAAAATACAAACCAATTCTGAAACTCAATGAATCAGAGATCAGTTTTTCCAATGATTGCTTCAAAGATATCAGTTTCCTAAAATTATTAAAGAGTCCTAAAATAATCAGAGAAGACAAGTATAATGTTTATACAATAAACTTTACTGATATTTTCTTGACTTGGGCAGAAAAAGAAAACATTGCTGAGTTCTGTAGATCCTGGAATTATCAGAGAGGAGAGGATGAAGTTTGCTGTTGGTTAATGCCGGATAAAAATGAGGAGCTTTTAGAAAAACTTGGACAAGATATTTTCATGCACTCAACAATGGTGGACCAGTCATTCCATGAAGCTGTATTTAGAAAATGTAGGTCTACATTCAAGGAATTTTCAGAATTCTTTATTTAATATTTAATGACAAATGTTTAGGGTTTTAGCAGATTTATGTTTCATTAATGATATTTATTTAGTAATTATTAATTGAGAAAAAGATGTGAATATATTTCTTTTTAAGTTTGTAGATGTACGTAATTATATTTTGACTATTTTTCTCTAAGTTAGTATTATAATGCCTCAATGTTTTTCTCTTAGTCGGCATACCTATTCAGATAATAATGAGGGGAGACAAATCTGTAAAAAATTTCATAGAAAATCTGAAGAAAGGAAAGACCATGATGTACCACGCATCTGGGATGATAATCGGATGTGCAGGAAGTGGGAAAACAACTTTACTACAAAGACTACAAGGCATCAATCTGAAAGAAATAAAGAAAAATACTAGCTCAACCAGAGGAGTTGACATTCACACAGATGTCTTTGAAGTAACAGATAGCATCCATGGTATGCTTCATTCTTTGTTTTCATTGATCATGTGTTAAGTTGATACTTATATAATAGTCTTGTGTTTGGCTTTCACTATGAGTAAATTGTAGTCAGTGTTTGACAAATGGTGCATGAGCTAGAGGGAAGTGTGCTGTGTCAAAAGCTGACTACTGTTTATTCAAAGTGCATGCTAAACACAACACCTGAGCCCAAGGCTTAATTTAGCTTTTCTGATCACATTTTGTCTATCATCCATCTCGTTAGCTGTCTGTGCATCTTATTAAGGTATCTTCAAATTCTTGGAACATTTGACTTATGAACGCTTAAATCGTAAATGGTTTGATACATGAAGATATTTTAATACCCCATATATGTTACTTTTTCAGTGCAAAAAAGGTCACACAATAATGTTTGCAAATTAATTTGCAAGATTTTTTCAATGATAAATATTATTCAAGCTATTTAACGTAGAGTAAGATTAAATATATTGCTATGGTTACATCTAGTAAATTATGATTACAGTTAAAGTAATTAGCCAAAGAATTTAATTGCAAAATTTAATTGTACCTTACATGTAGCTCAGTAAGATGCATATTGAACCACTTTGTTCTTTGCGATTTTTAGTCATCCTTCATGAGTTCTTATCCAAAATATACTTCCCAAAAGCACTTGCTTTCAGAAATTTTCATGAGTGACATACCTTAAACAATTCTAACAAATCTGGTCATACAGCATAAGGGAAACTAAATGTGTGTTTTTCATGATCCCTGCGGCCCTAGCGCTTGTGAAATGGAGGCTTGAATCATTAAAAATAAGTACCATATTAAAAGATATTTATTTATGGGTATGAAGCGGTAAAACTTTTGTAATAAATAATTATTATAATATTTAAGTTTTGAGTACATAACCACAAGTTTGAAAATCATGAACCAAGGGTATGAGAATCTGGTGCTAGGACAGGGCTATATAGATAATACAGTAAAACATTACTTCTTTAAAAATCTTCTTTGCTTCTGGGTTTTAAACAAATTGACTCAGTACATACCATGTAGTTATGATAAGCAAGGTGCCTCTCCCTAAGTTGTGAATTTATGAACCCGGGCTCAAGGGTTTTTAATTAGGGCAGGGCTGTATTCATAAAATTCCAATAATGCATGATTTCCTTTATATTTGATCTGTTCATTTCTGTGGTAAGTGAGCTTTTCTGATCACAGTCTGTCCGTCTGTCTGTAAACTTTTCACATTTTCGACTTCTTCTCAAGAACCGCTGGGCCAAATGGGGCAATTTCAACCAAACATGCCATTGGGTGAAGGGGATAAAAGTTTGTTCAAATGAAGGACAACCCCCTCAATTCAGGGGAGATAATTGTGAAATAATGAGAATTTAGTGGCATGTTTTAAAAGTCTTCTTCTGAAGAACCACTGTGCCATGAAAGATGGAACTTATGGGGAAACATGTTCGGCTAGTGCAGATCAAGCTTGTTCAAGTCATGACTATCGGGGTAAGGGCGGGGCCAAAATGGCCGACAAAAGTTTTACAAAAAAATATATAACGGAAAATTCTTTAAAAAAACTTCTTCTCAAGTAAAGCAAAGTCATAATGGCTCATATTTATATGGAAGCATCCTCAAGTAGTGTAGATTCATGTTTGTTCAAATCATGACCCCTGGTGGTAGGGTGGGGATGAAATGGGCGACCAGAGTTTTAGATAAAAATATAGGGAAATTATTTAAAAAAAAAATTGTTCTTAAGAATAGCAAAGCCATAATTGATCATATTTATATGGAAGCATTTTCAGGTAGTGTAGACTCAAATTTGTTCAAATCAAGACCCCAGGGGGTAGGGCGGGGCCACAATGGCTAATCAAAGTTTTAGATAGAAATATATAGGAATTTTTTTTTCAAAACATATTCCAAAGAATAACAACGCCTTTGTTGGTCATGGGACTACTTTTAGATTTAACCTTTTCAATAATTATGAAATAAACCATTTTCTACTTTTTCCTAGCCACAGAGCTCAGGTGAGCGATATGGCCCATGGGTCTCTTGTAGCTCACCTGAGCCGAAGGCTCAAGTGAGCTTTTCTGATCAAAATTTGTCCATTGTCTGTCGTTATTGTCGTTAACTTTTCATTTGTTCATCTTCTCAAGAAGCACTGGGCCAATTTCAACCAAACTTGCTACAAAGTATCCTTAGGTAAAGGGAATTCAAGTTTCTTCAAATGAAGGGCCACGTCCTCTTCCAAGGGGAGATAATGATTAATTAGTGAAAAAAAATAATGGTATCTCTAGAAAATCTTCTTTTCAAGAACTACTGGGCCAGGAATGATGAAACTCGAGTGGAATCAACCTTAGGTAGTGTAGATTCAAGTTTGTTTAAATCTTGAACCCTGGGCTTAGGGTGGGGCCACAGTGGGGTATCAAAATTTAACATAGGAAAACGTAGGGAAATCATCATTGATGATTGATCATCAATTTAAAACAGTAAAAAAGATAATGTAGATTTGGAATTCAGCAGAAAAGAGGAGCCGTAAAGTAGATAATAAGAAAGGATACAAAGGCTATATCAAAAAAAAAAAAACAGCTTATAAACAATACAAAATACTGTGTCACATGAATTCAAAAGTATTCTAAGAAAGTCTGGATTTAAGTTTGATTAAATACTCCCCTCCACTTTCATAATATATTTAAACTTTTCATTACTAAACTTATTTTTGCTTTTATCTAGCCAGTTGCTCGGGTGATTGATGTGGCCCCCGGGCCTCTTGTTTCAAAATGGTGATATTTCACTGGACAGAAAAAAACATGATGCATATGTTTTAGATTTTATTGTTCAATAAATATCAAAGAGTAAGTAAATATATTTATTTTTAAATGTTGCTTTATTCGTAAAAATCGCATTAATATATATAATTATTAAATGAAATAAAAGAGTGTCTGAAGTTGTTTTGAACCAAAAACGTAGCATTCTCGACCCAAATCAAAAGTAGGAATTGGAGATTATGTAGTTGTTAAATTGAGGTAAAATTGCTTGAAATTCCAAAAAATCAGGAAAATAACGGTCGTTGGTCGCGTTAGACAGGTGGTCAAGGTAAAATATATAGGGAAAAGCAGTGGGGGGAATTTACTTTCAAATGTGACAGTGAGTCACTAAATACAGTGGGTTATTATGACAGTTTTGACTTTTTTAAATGAATTTTATGTTTGTTATCCTGAAAAATATTATTATCTACGATATAAGCACCAGTGTCCACTCTTAGCATTCCATACACTTTGCTTTATTGTCATTTATTGTCATTTATATCGGCGCAGAATGGCAACTCATGTCAGTGCTGCATTAAACATCAGAGTTGCTTTAAAATGAGTTAAAGGTATTGAACAACCATATTTTGAACCTAAAAATGAATGGTCTGACATTTTAAATCATAGTAGAATTTTAAAGATTTTATCAAATAAAATTGCTCAACCTAAGGAATTAACAAAATTAGTGTTCATTTTCATTGAAGTCTAGGGCAGCACATGTATTATAAGATATTGGAAAAAAGTTATTTGATTTCAAACAAATCTCGGGATGAGAATATGCATAAGCTCCCTCTTTAGTACACTATGAAATAAAGATTATTTACCGCAGAAATTTTGAGAAATCAACAATTTTCTTCTTTTCATTAAGGGCAGATAACTCTTCAAAAACTTTTAATGTGCAAAATGACCGCCTCCTTTCATGTTATCAATCTTGTGAATTTGGTTCATTTCACTTTTTAGCTCACCTGAGCCGAAGGGCTCAAGTGAGCTTTCCCTATCAAAATTTGTTGTCATCCGTCGTCGTTGGCGTCGTCATTGTCGTTGTAAACTTTTTACATTTTTATCTTCTTCTGAAGAACTGCTGGGCTTATTTCAACCAAACTTGCCACAAAGTATCCTTAGGTGGAGGGGATTGCAGTGTCGTAAAATGAAGAAGGGAATATCCATCTTCGAAGGGGAGATAATTATGATTTTGTGAATTTTTTTTTTTAATTTCTTCTCAAGAACCACTGGGTCGAGAAAGATGAAACTCACATGAAATCATCCTCAGGTAGTGTATATTCAAGTTTGGTCATATCATTACCCCCAGAGGTAGGGTGGGGCCACAATGGCCGATCAAATTTTCACATTGGAATATATAGGAAAAATCTTTTAAAAATCTCAAGAACCATTGAGACAGGAAAGGTGAAATTCATGTGAGACAATTTTTCAGGTAGTATAGATTTAAGTTGTTTCAAATCATGACCCCCGGGATTACGATGGGGCCACAATGGCTTTACAAAGGAATATGTATAAAAGTGTAAAATCTTCTCAAGAACAATTGAGACAGGAAAGATGAAAGTCATGTGAAATCATCCTCAGGTAGTGTAGAATCAATTTTGTTGAAATCATGACCATCGGGGTTAGGATGGGGGCACTGTGGCCGATCAAAATTTTACAAAGGATTGTACGAGGGTTCTCCCAAAAAGTCGTAGACAGGGAACACAGTTTTGTTTCTTTTCGATAAAATGAATTTCCTACCTTGTCATGGTGAAAAGTAACATTTTATGATCATGCATTGCAAGATTCATGATGATATCACATTTAATAAGAAAATTATGAAAAAATAAAGAAAGCATGTTAGTGTACATCGGCGCACGAAAGCAAACGTTATTTACGGCCCTTTTAACGTCAGGATCTCTTTTTCTGCTTCAAATGCGTCTTTTAACATTAATAATTTTTATACCCTACGCAACAAGTTGCGTGAGGTAGGGTGAATTCACCATGCATCGGACACATACCTTGCTTCGGACAACATTAGGCAACAAACTCTCTTTTAATTTAAGAGTTCCGTGCATTTATTTGTTTCCGTCTTAAAGATGAAGATTTAATTTTTTTAATGATACCGATTGTTATTATCATATTGTGATAAAAATACCTCGTTAATGGCCTTGAAGTTACGTCATATTTTACATCATCTAAGGGGAATAACCAGATATTTCTGATTTTGCAATTTTAG